AAATTAAAAATGTTTAAAATAAGATCATAAAAATAGCCAGAGCATGGTGGTGCACATCTTTAATCCCAGCAGTTGGGAGGCAGAGGCAGGTGTATCTCTCAGAGTTTGAGGTCAGCCTGGTCTACAGAGTGAGTTCCAGGACAGGCAGGGCTGTTAAACAGAGAAACCCTGGGAAAAAAACAAAAAAACAAACAAATATATATATAGTTATAAAAAAGAAACAAAATTTTGACTTCTCCAGAGCTGAAACTCAATAAGAAGGGATAAAATGCATTATTCGCACTATCAGATCCTGACATTAAAATAAAAACACCCTCATATAAACCCTAGCATTTTCCATGTGCAAGGTACTGTACATCAAAGTAAAGGTAAACTAATATTTACCTCTTAAATGTTCTTATTAAAAATAGAAATATAGTTTAGTATTGTTCCATTAGCAAAGAGATTCCTTACATTCTCCTTCATGTACTGGAATTAGTGATTATCAGTATGTTCACCAGAGCAACATACTGAGTATGGTGGTGTGTGAAGAACTTGGTAGACTGCTGTAAGAGAAGCTCTCACCATGTATCCTAGGCTGACTTCATACTTGCAACCCCTTCATGTACCCTTCACAGTCTTGCCTAATGGTGGTTGGCAGTAGACCCTAAAAAGTGTATGCCAGAGCACACCTGGAAGACAAGAGGCTACACATGAAACACAAAGTCAATAAGAAAGCAAGCTCTATGACTTAGTCAGAGAAACAGGCTTCTCCACACAAGCCCAAACATGCAGCCAGGATGTGAAAGAACAGCCTTAAGGAAAAGTTATCTTGCAAATTCTAATTCCCTACACAAATTCCAAAGACAGACAGCCTAGAAAAACAGAGAACAAGAACAAATCCAGTGGAAAATAAAAACACAATGTAAGGAAGGCTACAGAGACTGGAGAACATGCTCAGTGAAGAGCACTGGCTGCTTTTCCTGAGGACCTGAGGTTAATTCCCAGCACACACATGTCGGCTTACAGCCATTGTAACTCCAGTTCCAGAAGATTCAACATACTCTTCTAGCCTCTGTGGGAATTGAACACATATAGTGCACAGACAGACCTGCAGGCAAAACTCCCAAGCACATAAAAGAAAAAAGAAATGCTATAGAAAGGAGTGCTCATCACAAAGACTGGCAGGAAGGGCAGCAGAACCCTGGAACAAAAGTTCAGAGGTGAAGACAGTCTAATGTGAGTGAGAACTTTCATTAGCTTTTCTGTGGTTACAAAGCAGGCTACAATGCTTAAAAAACGAGGGGGAGAAAGGAGGAAGAACATACTATGAACACACAGGAGGAAGAACATACTATGAACACACAGAAGACAATGCCACTCTGAGAGGGCCTGTTAAGCCTTAACACTAAAAAGTCATTACTTAAATATTATGAATGTTCAACCTCCAGCACCCCCCAAAAAAACTGAAAACGCACCCCCAAACAAAACCAACTTGGTATTTTTCATGTTGCACATTAGCAGAACATTATTCCTTCAATATTTGTCTTACTAGGTCTGTATTAATTCATTCAATATACTTTCTTGTTCCATTCATTTATCTGCTAACTTCATTTTTCTTTACAGCTTAATAGTATTCCCTGGGGCATAGCAAATTTGTTATCCCTTATCAGCTGAAGGGCATTTAGGTGTTTCCATTTCCTAACTACTGTGAGTGGAGCGGCAATGAACATGGCAGAGCAAGTGTCTGTAGGATAGAATGTTCAGTCCTTTGTGCAGATGCCCAAGAGTGGTATAACTGTATACTACGGTGTTTATTTTTGTTTTTGTGAATTTTCCACACTCATTTCTAGCGGGCTGGACCAGTTTGCAATCCCACCAACAGCTAATGAGGGTTCCCTTTCCCCATATCCTCTGTAGCATTTGTTGTCTGGTTTCTTCTTTGTCATTCTGACTTGGGTTAAGATGAAATCACAAAATTATCTCGACTTACATTTCTCTAATTGCTTGGGGCAATGGACTTTTTTGAGATTTTATTTAGTAATTTTTATTTATTCTTTTGAGAAACCTATTCAGATTTATAGCTTACTTTTTGAATGGGTCATTTGTTTTATTGACTAACTTTTTTATTTTTTAGTTCTTTACGTATTCTGGATGTATACCTGGAAAAGAGTCTTTCCTTTTTCTTTACTCAGTTGGTTGTTTCCTTAGCTGTGAGGTTTTTTGGTTTTATGAGGATCCACTTGTCACTTGTTGGCCTTAATTAATTCCTGAGTGGATGGGGTCCTATCAAAACAGGCCTTTCTGCAGCTCTATCTTGTAGATTACTGTCTATTCTTTCTTCTAGCACTTCCAGTGTTTCAGGGTTAAGTCTTCAGTCTGTGTGGAGCTAGTTTTTGTGCAAGGTGATAGATACAGGCTTAATTCATTCTTCTGCATGTAGGAGTCTAGTTTCCCCAGCACCATTTAAAAGATGCTTTCTTGGCCGGGCGTTGGTGGCGCAGGCCTTTAATCCCAGCACTCAGGAGGCAGAGGCAGGCGGATCTCTGTGAGTTCGAGGCCAGCCTGATCTATACAGCGAGTGCCAGGATAGGCTCTAAAACTACACAGAGAAATCCTGTCTTGGGGGGGGGGGGAATTGGCTTTCTTTTCTCCAGTGTATATTTTTGGCGTATTTGTCAAATATTAGATGTCTGTAGTTGTGTGTATTCATGCTTATGTCTTCTATTTTGCTTCCTTGGTCTACATGTGTGCCAATACCATATACTGGTTATGGTTTTATTACTATGGCTCTGTAATAAATCCGGAAATATGGAATTGTAATTCCTCTAGCATTGTTCTTTTCGCTCAGGTTTCCTTTGGGTATCCAGGGTGTTTTGTGATTCCAAATGAATTTTAGGATAGTTTTTTTTTTTTCTTTTTCCCTGTTTCTGTGAAGAATGATATGGGGATTTTGATTGGACTTGAGCATCTGCACTGGATTTGGCCTTAAAGTCCTCTTCCTTGGGCCTAACTTCCATAGCACTGGAAGGTACTATGTAAGGTTCCAAGGGAGGGTAACAATCAATAGTTCTACATGGCTGACATGCCCTGAACCACAATAATGACCAGCATGGCAAGATATTCCCAAGAGTACAAAAGTGGCATATACCATGGCAGTAACCAACAGCTGTCTAATTGGACATAAGGCCTACTCAAGAGGAGGAAACCATGCCTGTTGCTAGAAACATGAACAACTACCTGTGGACACTGGGGACATAAATCTTAAAAGAAAACCTTTTACTACAACTCTACTAAAGCAGTATAATTTCTAATTGCATTCTAAGTACTTATCTTATACCCATAGACACATGTACTTCTACCTCAGGGTATAGATGAGGAGCAGAAAGACTTTTAGAGACAAAGGAACAGGAAGTCTGCTGTGAGAATTCATCTCAAGAAATGACAGGTAAGCTATATCCATGGAGTCCAACAACGTGGCTGTCTAAACAAGACCTGAACAAGGATGACACCAATAGACAGTCTAGTGTGCTCTATCCACAAAGAACTAAAGGCAGCTATGGACTACTTGTTGAGAGAGGGAAAAATAATCTTCCCTAGGGATGAAGCCCCTTAATTGGTTATCTAGTACCAAGTCATCAGCCCTGAAATCATGTATACACAAGTAATGTAACACTCCCCCCCCTCTCTGTTGTGTGTGTGTGTGTGGGGGGGTCTAGGTGTGTAGCAATAGTAATTTCAGAAAATGAGGCCAGGAATGTGGGAGGAACAGGGCAGAAAAAGACATGGAAGAGTTGGAGGAAGGAAATGGAAGGAGAAAAATGGTATACTTATATTTTAATTTCAAAAAATTATCACTTATAATAATTTAAAAAGCTGATATAGTACAATTACCTTCTCTTGTAATTCCACAATTTTTATGCTTTGAAAATCTACTTTAAATATTATAATACATAAAACAATTTGATTGAATGTAGATGGGAAGCATTTGTAGGAATGGGCCTATTAAGTAAAGGGACCCTGACAGCTTCTACGCTGCTCAGTTGAGGCTGTGGGAGGAGTAGAAGGAAGATGGGCTGAGGGGAACCCTACAGAGCAGCAAGACTTATAACATTAGCAAAATTAGTTATGAAACAGCAATGAAATAACTTTATGGTTGGGGTCACCACCACATGAGGAACTGTATTACAGGGTCACAGCTTTAGGAAGGTTGAGAACCACTGCTTTAAAAGGATACAGCAGGACATACTCTCGAAAGGATAAAGAGTCATTCCTATAAAAATGTATCTACAGATTATGCTCTTGCTTAAGTCTACTACAAAGTAATTATAAAACATCAAAAATATTACAGTGACTCCTAATATTCATGGTTTTGATAGGCTCATTAAAATCGCCAACATTCGGAGCTGGAAAGATGGCTCAGCAATTAGGAACACTGAAAGTTCTTCCAGAGGACCTGAGTTCAATTCTCAGCATCCACATGATGGCTCACAATTGTCTGTGACTCCAGTTCCACGGGACCAGACACCCTCACATAGACACACATCCAGGGAAACACCAATGCACATAAAATAGAAAAGCAACCATAGTATCTGTACTTCCAAGGAGAAGTTTGGATTGTTAAAAATATTTAAAACAAACAAACAAACAAACAAACAAACAACAAACCAAAAGAACTACCAACTGTCAAATGGAACTGAATTGATTCCACGTGATGCAAATGGCCAATTACATTTTTCCTCCAATAACCACTCAGGTTTCTTTTTCAGAAGATTTTTTTTTTCTTCTGTAAATGCTATGGCAGGAGGAATATTGACAATAAAACAAGTTAAAGGCTTGTTTTTTTATTGTTTCAACTTTATTTTTGGCTTTGGAGAGACCATGATGGTCTGGCCTTACCATAAGCTTTTGCACACATTCAAAAATTAATCAGAAAAACATCCAGTAAGTGATAGGTAATGTCATTAACTCACACATAAAATATAGTAAATCTGCTTTGATTATGGAAACAGATTACTCACCTGCGCCCACACTCTGAGTATTTACCAATATTTTTTAATATTAAGGCAGCTGTTAGTCGGATGTGTTTAGTTATTGGTCCCTCTTTTTCATCCTTAAAAAGAATGAAGAACATAAAAAAAGAATGAAGATCTAAATCACAAGGCCATACCTTACAGATAAGGGCTTTAAGGTGCACTTACTGTGAAGTCCCGGAAGACAAGGTTCCTCGAACCTCTCCTAAGAGCCATGAGTGCAGCACTGGGGTGACTCGCAATGGCCTTCTGTGCTCTAGGAGCTGAGCCTGTGCCCCCTACAGCTGGCTGCCTAAATTGATCAGACATACAAACAATGTTAACTGCATAGACAGACAATGTGTCCTGTCTCTGCCTGCCCACACAGCAGCTCTGCTTTAGGGCTTGAGTTTTCCAGCCTATCCCTTCCTTTTTGACAGCGTCTTACTATGCAGCTCAACTTGGCCTTGACTATCCATCTCCCTGCCTGGAGGCATTATAGGAAGCAGCACTCCACACCACTCAGTCTATCGGATTCAAAGTAAACAACAGATGTACTGCACTGCCCATCTCTAAAGTTACTATGCTGGTTAAGGAGGCAGTAACAGTAACTCAGCATAGCACCAAAGCTGTAAAGGTCTCATCTTGGAAAGTCCTGTGCAGCTGTTTGCTAGGGAGAAGACAGAAAGCTGCCCTGTGTATGTTTTAGAACCTGTGAAATGGACAGTATTTACATTTCTTTCCTAACAGGTTACTTTCAACCAGTCCTTGCAACAGAAAGGAGTTGCAAACAAAGTTCCATGCTTCTTATAAAGACACAGGAAGGAAGGCCAAGTTCAGTATACACTCCCAGTTAAAACACTGCCAGTTTCTCTGGCCACGCAGACACTGGGAGACAGTAGTGGAAAGGACTGGTAGATGCAGTCTAACAAACTGTGTTTCTCTTGAAACTTGGAAACTAAAGATATTTCTTATTTTTTAAACATAAAATTTGAATATTAAAAATATAATGTAGAGGAGGCTAGAGAGATGGCTCAGCTGCTCTTCCAGAGACCGGAGTTCAAATCCCAGCAACATGTCCCTCCCAAATACCCACAGACACACATACGCAAATGTCTTCACATGTAAGCCAGAACAGATGTATGTTTATAGGTGTTCATATATGTGTACAGAAAGAAATCTCTTTGCCATTGTCAAATACATGTTTACTATCTTAAAAAAAAAAAAGTACTTTTAATTTACAAGGCTTTCCCTCCTATATTATTGTTTGCCTAATGACTTGTCTCCAAAGATTGGGCTACCTTATACACCACACAGTGCAACTGATATGAAAACGTATACCTATGCAGAGATATATATGGAGAAAATTTATGTGGTTTGAGCAGAATCTCATAGCTTGGTAGTGATAGCTGGGCTAGAACACAGGTTTTGAATCCCCATGTGCTAAGTTTCTTTTTGTTGTTCTTGTTTTTGCCTTGTTTTCTACTTTTTTCAGTGCCAGGTATGGGAGACAGGCCCCTGACCATTGTAGCGACTACTTGTTCTTTATGCTTGACATTAAGTAACTAATTGTCTTTACTTGGTAGAGGATCTTTGATTTGCCATTTGTCCTGGTTCATCTTGTTTTAATCCTGCGAGCAGAGCGTCCTTTGAACAGTGCTTATCCTGAAGGAGAAGAGAAGAGAAAAGATATATACCATAATCTCTAACGTGACCACAGAACTTACTAAGCAAATGGCATCAACAAAGCATACCTGTAAGTGGGTAATGAAAGAAAACCTCTGCCGCTGAAAAGGCTCACAGCCTTCCCAAAGACACTGCCCTGGATAGACATCTTTCCCTCCATGTTCAGTAGCTGCATGGTAGAAAACCTGTGAGGGTGTCTGAAACCACCTAGAAAAAGAAAAGGCAAAAATATCTGACACTCAAGATAAATTCTTTAAATTATGTTGATATAATAGATTAAAAAAATTCCTAAGAAATCTTGGCTACAAATAAGATTTTACTTTTGATCATGTGTACTGTGTGTGTGCACGCACATGTGTACAGGTACCTGGAGTGTCCAGCAGAGGGCATTGGATTCTATTTTTGATAATTATGTAACTGTGTCTATGTTTGAATAAATTAAAATGTATTTTTAAAGAATGACTTATTTTTCTGTGTGTGAGTATTTTGCCTGTACACATGTATATGCATCATCTGTGTACTTGTTGGCCCCAGAGGTTAGAAGAGAGTGCTGGTAAGAGAACCCAGGTCCTCTGCAAAATGAACAAATGTTTTTAAATGCTGAGCCACCTTTCCAGCCCTGAACCAATTTTTTAATGTGTATTATATATCCAGGATCACAAATTCATATTCATTTATATAAATACCAAAGAAATTATGAAACTTAAAATCAGGATACTCATTTTAAGTACTCCAAATGATATTTCACTCACATGAAACAAATACAACTGGCATGCTACATAAACTGTAATTGCCACAAGGAATGTTCCTTACTATGTTCACATTTCATTGACAATCTATTATGTTACTAATCAAAAATAATTTATGGGCTATATAATGATGTCTGGCCAGTGACAAAGGGCATACATGTCTGGATACATGACTTATAAAAGTATGGTATATAGCCAACTTCATGTAGTAGCCAGAGTAAACAAATATAACCAGGAATACAAAGGACAGTAGTTAATGTATAAAATAAGAGACTTGATAATGATAACATGTGACTGCTTTATCTATTATAATTTTTTCTTTTTCTTGTGTAGCAGACCCTGTATATAGGCTCCATGGTGCCTATACAAGGACCACTGTACCTTGGTTAAGGCATGTTGTTTATACATACCCTAAATGTAGATATACTAGTGACTTATCAGAAAGAACTGTAGTCTTAAGCAGAACGTAACATTAAACAACTACATGATTCATGAATTTGGCAAGTTGCTAATGACTGGGGGAAAAAAAGATGGTTAATTTTAAAAATGTTTTGAGATCAGGTCTCACAATGTAGTTCATGTTGGTCCAAATGGTGATTCTCATGCCTCCACCTTTTGAGTGCTGGAATACAAATGCCACATCTAGCCAGAAAGTGTTTTGTTCTACCAACTTTAGCTGCTAAAATATATACACCTGTGTGATAATGACTGCAAGATAACACAGGTTTGTGTTTGTCATTCTACCCATCCCATACTATACCTGGTACTTCTCTCCAGTCCATTTCCCGTTCCAGCCTCCCAGGTCTCTTTCTTGTTTTTCAATCTATCTAGTCTGTCCATATGAGTCAAGCATTGGCTGTGGTAGTTGAGGATGAAGTTCTAAGGTTTCTAGTTCTAATGCAGCTAGTTTCTATGATTACATGGTTGTGAAAACCAGTGAAGGGTTCCAAACTAATATGATAAAAGATCTGAACTTTAACGTTCAAATACAATACTTGAGGGAGAGCTGGGCATGGTGGCACATACCTGTAATACCAACACTTAGAAGGCTGAAGTTCAAGGCCAAACTAGGATACCTAGCAAGTTGCTGTCTCACTCACTGGGCTCTCGACACTTCCAAATGGAGAGCTGAACTAAAGAGTGCAAGCAAACATCCATGGATATTACAGACTATGATTTTTTGGGGAGTGAGAAAAATCAGTGCCAAGGTGGAGTGCCATTACTGCTTGCTACCATATCCAGAATTCTCCTTATTATTTCTTTTCTAGTAATCATCTAGCTCACTACCCCAAATCATAAAAGCACACTCATTTGATGAACCCGAAAATTAAAGAACAGTCAAAGAAAAACAATTCCCATGACCCAGATCCCAGAAGCTTTAACACCATGTTGCATTTCCTCTTGCTCTCTCTCTGTATTCTGTCTTTTGAGAAGACTGCTGTTGATTGGATGTTGTTATCATCAACAAACACGTGAATGTGTTCCTTTTGACAATCTTATGAGGTGACTGCACTGGGAAAAAATTCTCTGAAAAATTTAACTTACTGGAAATCTAATTTTGATGCTATTTATAAAACTGCCTGATGCTAGATGGCTATAAATAGACAGGAGCGATAATCACTACGGTCATTATGTTTAGTGATAAGAGTAGTAACGGTCCTCTTGTATTCTCACCTGCCCGTTTTGCTAACTCCTTTTTGTTTGAGACAGTATTGGCTCACTGTATAGCTCTGGCTGGCCTTGAACTCTTCCAAGTGCTAGGATTAAACACACATGCCACCACCCAGACTGTTTTACTAACTCTTAATTCTGAGATAGTCTCAGGATTCCAAATGAGATGCCACTAAGATACTGCCTCCATTACCAGGTGATGCATCCGTCACCACTCATCAGCACTGGCCCAAAGTCAACTCTGCTTAATTTCACAACACATCAATCCTCGTCTTCTGAATAGTGTGACTTGGTGAACATAGATAAAATGTCCCAGTTTCACCTTTCTCTCCACATAAGAAACGTCATCGAAGGAACATCAATGTTAGTGCTTCCTCTCCACTTCCCTATCTAGGTCATCACCTGTCCTTCTCTCTTGGATCTCAGCTACTGTCCCCAGGCTGTCTCTATGATTTATTCACTGAGTTCTGTTACTATCTTCTTTGTATCTATTATCTTTCCCTTTCTACAATGTTTAAGAATATAGATGATAGGGCCAGAGAGTAAAGCCCTTGCCATCATGCCTGAGCTCCAAGTTTGATTCCTAGGACCCATATGGTAGAAGGAGGGTACCAGACTCCCACAAGTTGTCCCCCTGTGGCGTGTGACACATTCAATAGCTCTCCCAACCACGTAAGTATACATTTCCCTCAGCGAGGCTACTCTCAGCAGATAGGAATTAGAATTACCAAAATTTAGCAAAGCAGTACAAAATTTAACATTTCATCGTTTTTATAGCATTATCTGTATCTGCTGTTTTTCTCTCAGTTACCGCCAACTGTCACAGGTACACATGGTCTTCAATGACAACCATACAGTGTAAAACACCTCATCCTCTGCTCATTACCTAATCAGCACAGCAGAGAGTTACTCAGGACAGGCTAGAGGAGTCCAGTTTCCCTTAAATTCTTTTGTTGTACGCCACAACAGGGTTTTCCATTCTAGTGAACATGATTAACGTAAGTATAAATTTCCTAATTTCAGATGCTCCAAGTAACCATTTATGAGTAATATTTTACTCTTAAAAAGAAACAAACATCACCTCCCAACACCACAAAGAAACGAACAAACAAAAAGAAAGCATTTAAAAACTACCTAAACCAAGCCAGGCGATGGTGGCACACGCCTTTAATCCCAGCACTCCGGAATCAGAGGCAGGCGGATCACTGTGAATTTGAGACCAGCCTGGTCTACAAGAGCTAGTTCCAGGGCAACCTCCAAAGCTCCAGAGAAACTCTGTCTCGAAAAACCAAAAAACAAACAAACAAACAAACAAAACAAACAAACAACACATATGCATAATACAAAATAGGAAAACAAAAATATAAAAAACAAAAAGAAAAAACACACATAAATATAAAAAATTTTATAAGCACACATAAAAATCTAAACCAAAATATTGCTGTAAAACAAACTGTTACCTCAACATTTGGTATCAATTTGTTTTATGTATTATTTTAGGGGAAAAAAATAACAAAGATATGCATTACTTTATAACCAAGTGAGACTGCATAACTGGCTGTTAAGAACCAGGGGACAGGTCAGGCAGTGGTGGCATGAGCCTTTAATCCTAGCACAAGGGAGGCAGAGGCAGTGGCAGAGACAGAGGCAGGCAGATGGATCTCTGTGAGTTCGACACCAGTCTGGTCTGCAGAGATTGTTCCAGGACAGCCAGGTGTACATAGAGAAACCTTGTCTCAAAAAAGAAAAAAAGAAAAAAAAAAAGTACAAGGGGATATCAACCACTCTTGGTAGAAGAGTAGCCAGATAATATTATATCCAGATGGAAGATTTTAAGAGGAGAGGGAGATGAACAAGTCTAATTTATTATTAAAATTCCTCACTCGGAAGCTGGAGCGATGGCTCATTGGTTAAGAGGACATGCTGCTATTATAGACAAGAGTTCAGTTCTCAGCACCCATAGCAAATAGCTTAGTTGTCTAGCTCCAGCCCTAGGAGAAATAGCTGTTTCTGGCCTTGGCAGATATTTGCACTAACATGCATAGTCCCATATATAGACATATACACTAATACATAATTATAGTAAGTTCTAGGCCAGTCAGGGGTATGTAGTAAAGACCCCGTCTCAACAAACATTTAGATACATTAAGATATGTTTAAAAATGCCTACGTTTCACAAAATATTAACAGTATGTTGAAAAAATAGTTCACATCTGAGAAAGTATCAGGAAGAAGGTGTGTACAATGCAGGTGTTAACTGATTGTCATCATACATACAGAAGTGCACAGAATTTAAGGGGACAGTCCATGTGCATGCTCTTTTTAAAAAAACATTATCTTTTACTTTCCAGATTTATATAATGACATCATTTTGCTTTTCCCTTTTCCCCCTTCAAACCCTCCCTCATCCCCCTCCTTGCTTTCCTTCAAATTTATGGCCTCTTTTCATTAGTAGTTACATGCTTACATGTATATGGATATTATGTAAGTTAGGGTTTTATTGCTGTAATAAAACACCATGATCAAGGCAACTTGGAGGAAAGGGTTTATTTCAGCTTACACTTTCAGGTGACTTTCCATCACTGATGGACGTCAAGGCAGGAACTCAAAATGGGCAGGAACCTGGAGGCAAGAGCTGATGCAGAGGCCATGGAGGGTGCTGCTTACTGGCCAGCTCCCAATCGCTTGTTCAATCTACTTTCTTATAGAACTCAGGACCACCAGCCCAGGGATGGCACCACCCACAATCACCAATTAAGAAAATAATCTACAGGCTTGCCTTCAGTC